TGAAATTTAAAAGAGACACTGGTCTGTGTCATACTGAGGAGAGGCAAAATGTTACCTGGTAATATCAATATATGTGCAAATATTTGGTAAATAGCCTGTTTCAAATGTTTCATATACTGTTTTACTACATATTTAGTAATTTCAGTAGTGCTTTGAAACCTTTCAGACTGAAAGCTAAACCTGAATTACTGTAATATGTTGTGTGGTAGAATGTAAGTATATTTCTTTAAATATTTTCTTTACATATCAGTGTACTCTTTTCTGGTCCATAGCAACTGGGAGGAGTGTTCACAGTGATTTTGTTCTATTAGTAGAAAACATTTTTTAGTTTTCATGCAAAAACATAGTACTCGAGTTTCTTACAATCTACATTTTCTTCTAAATAAGTTTCATGCAAAAAGTTATAGCTTTTATAGAACTTGGGCTGGAAAAAGTATTTCGGCATATGGCAAGGAATGTTTGAAACTGCCAAGAATGTGCAAATGTCTGTGGATGAATTAATAAACAGTAACTTCATCTAAGTATTGATACTACATTCTTTATGCAAGCCAAGGGAAGACAGCTAGTTGTTACTTGAGCAATAACCAGTAAGGACATATTGGTCACAGAGATATGTGATATCATACAGCCTGCAGATGGGAATGACTCCAAAGATGTCCGCACCTGTTTGAAGTATTACCTCCCCCTGGCCCCAAATATGCAATAAGTGTGAGGGTTAACCATTCTGGCTTGAAACTAATGGCCATCGAAGTCTGATTATTTCTGAAATACAGATTTTAATCAAAGAAGCCATTAGGATTGAATGCATTTTATGCTGGGAAAGGATTATTTGTTCGTGTATCTACATAACATTATTTCTAGTCTGTTTCCCAGTATACTTCTTTTTTTTTTTTTTTAATTATCAAAAGTAAAGCAAATGTTCTCATATGCAGAATGCAGGTTTTTTTCCTTTGTTCCATGAATTTCATCTTCCTCTGTCACATAGGCATTATCAGTTAGTCATGATTAAGACTCACAACACAAATTATCTGGCTGGAAATGCTTCATCTGGATTTCTGAAGCCATTCCTTACCATGTAAAATGGATTTCTTCCTCCATGCCTCTTCTTTTGCACGAATGACCTGAATTTCTTTTTACACAAGTATTCCTGTGCAGGTCTATTCTCATATTCTGTCTCTCTTTCTTCACTCTGAAGCTGTTGTGTTTTTCTGCAGCATAAGAATGCCAGGTGCATGAATTGGCATGCTGAGGAAATTTTTCCCTTTTAAAATCTGGTCCTAATCCCTTTATTTCTGAAGCAGCCCAAACACTAGCATTGGGAAGAGCACAGAGTAATGGATGTAGGAGAAGTTGTTACTAATTCTTGGGAATGTGTAAATTTTTGTTGCATGTCCATACTCAGCTGGACTCCCCTGATGAGGCTGGGAAGACATGTAGTTGGTCATTTCAGTTCTTGGCCTGTAGTTGGTCATTTCCGTTCTTCTAGTGTTTTCAGAGGCTGATGGGTTTTGAAACCAAAATGATCTAAAAGTTATTGCTGAAAAAGAAGAGAGGTGGTGTGCTCCAAGGACCTGGACCAGATGGAGGCTGAAGAACTTCTGCTCTGCTTCCTATTCCCTTGCCCTCTAACCTCCCAGGCAATGCAGTTCCAATGCAGGAACACTATTGACAGTTTGCATTTGTGCTGCTCCGAAAGAATCATAAAAACCTGTGTTTTAGCACAAATGTAACTGCATAAAAAGTAAAATTTCTAAAATAATAGTAATAAAATTTTATAATGTTCATAGGGCCTCAGCTGGGTGGGAGAAAGGACAGTAGTGGAAAAGCAAACAACTCTGTGTGTCCTCAGCTCCAGTGTTGGTAGGAGAAGAGGACCAGACAGTCAGATTGCCCTTTCCTCCACAGATCTGAGATGATTTGTGGATGTTTTCTTGCCTCTTCATAGGTCTGGAATGGAGAGACGTGAGATGTATAGCTGATTGTTTAAAGCGTTCTGTTACTTCCGGTTTCAAAGCTGTTACAGCATGTCTATTTACTATTTGAAAAAATTTAAAATCTTGTTTGAAATATTTGACATTCTGACTAATAAAGTAATGGATTGCTTTGCTGGATGTTTTTGATGGGTTATGTATCAGATGTTCCCGTGGCTAGCACCTTTGGTGTTCTGCAAATGGAGTTTTTAGTTCTATTGACAGTGGCAGTAGTCAGCAGTTCTCTAAGGAAGCACAGAATTGGCAAAGTAATCCTATTGGGTTTTCATACAGCTTGTGGAGTATATAAACTTTGTTAATTTTAAATATTTTAGGGCCCTACATTGCATTTATATTGCCATAATATGTGTTTTCATTTATTTTTGGAGACAACACTGGAGAAAATAAACAATTTGGTGGGGGGAAAGGAGTAATAACTAGATCATTCTCTCTCCATGGAGTAACACTTGAGGGTGGTGGTACTGCAGTGATAGTGGGGAATTTTTACTTCTTTGGTTTTAATTCTCCATTGAACTATAAGTTAGTGCTCAGGGAACTACTCACAGACATGGATTTCCTGAAAATAAGAAAAAAATTACACTGGTAACCTGATGAAGCAATCCTCAGATTGCAACATATTTTCCTTATTTTCACACTGCCCAGAGAAGCTAACCTGCTTTTCCAGTGAAACAGAAAAGTATTCTAAACAAATCTGGGGCAATTTATTGGCATTCAGCTGGTGTCTGAAACTTTTTCAGGCCAAAGCTCAAGCAGGACGTAAAGTTCAGCATGCAGGTGACAGGCTAAAAGTGAACATGTGACTGTCTGGAATGTATGTTGTCAACATTCATGGCTGATAAGATGCAGAATATTCAGACACGTTTACATTTTAATCAGGAAGAATGACTGTAGCAGAATAAAGAGGCCTTTGCATGAAATCCAGGACAAATGACAAGGCAGAAATAAGGTACGTTTGTAATTTTAAATACTTTTAAGAAGGGAAATGGATACTTGCCTAGCTGCAGTTGCTACAATGAGGCACTAATAAGTGGAGTAATACAGTTTTCCTGTAGTGTTTGTAAATTAAAAACAAAATCATTAATAGATGATGTGTGGTGGAATGTTTTAAGAGAGATATGTATCCCCCTTCCCTAAATAAGCCTGAAATGAGAGTCTTGGAGCCTATGTTTTGAAATGGATGAAATGTGGAACTTGAGGCTTTTTAGTGGTTGTGGTAGGGGATACCCAGTACTTTGAGATAAAGTTTGATGTATTTGGTGTTCTCCATAATTAGATAACTAGTTTTCTGGGGAAAAAAATGCCTTAAGCTTTAGGGAGTTCATGTTTAATGTCAAAAGAACCCCTATTCAGTCTTCAGTTTGTCGGCCATGACAGAGGCTGTCATGCATAGAGAAGTGTACTGTATTAAATGTATCTTAATTTTTATAATTTTCTTTAAAAAAATGGGCCACTGACAGTGTACTAAGGCTTTTGCCAGATGGTGTGAGCTGTTCAAGAAGTATCTGCTCTCATCAACTTTAAGATAGTGTGAAAACTTCTATGACTACCATAGAATAAGTATGTTCTATGTACAGAGCGACCCAAATCCTCTTCAGATCTGTCTTGTAGAATGGTTTACTTGTGGAAACAGACAGTTCTTTTATCTTGTCACATTTACTGGTGATTTGAGGTACCCTAGCACCTTTAGAAGACTTGTAGCACTAACTTTCTAAAAAACATTCATATTTTTTTTGTCATGTGACTCTAAGTAACAGCAGGTAATAAATATGAAGAGAGCTGGAAGTCTAAGTTTATAGCCTTCTCTCTTACTTTGTGTTATGGAAGATTTTAAAAAGAGGTCCATAAGGTCAATAGGATCAAGAATGGCTGAAATAATAAAATCCCACATCCTTTGCAGAAACTCCTTCATGTATCTATGGCTTCCACAGTTTGGAATGTGGGAAGATGCCTAAGTGAGGCAGGTCCCTGTAAGAACTGTTTTTCAGGGCATTGTACAGCTTCAGACTTTTGAGTTCTTTGTATATAGCGTTAGTATGATGGGCAACTTTGACTTTTCCAGATTGCTTTTTTACTTTGCGTTAAATGCAGGAGTGAGTTCGGCTGTAAAAACTGTAGGAAGTGGGGAGATAAGTAAATGTTTTGAGATCATTACAAAACTCTATGGAGACAGCTGCATTTTGGTCTTAATAGACATTGCCCAAGCAGTTGTCCTTGTGTGTGTATTGCCCATTTTAAGGCCAAAGCCACTTTTAACTGGTGGAGTTAAGTGGAGTGGGAGATAACAACACTGGAAACTGGAGTTTATTGGGGAAAAATTAGAACCTAATCGTAAGTACTGTGTGGAGGCACTAGAGGACACCGCAGTAAAAGGCAACGCTTTTAAACTTAGCTTCTTGCCAGAGCATAGCTTTGCATATGCATTTATCTTGGTGTTGCAAGTTTGAAAAGTTGCCATGCTATGAAACTTCAGCTCCAGCAGGAACAGACAAAAATCTTAGAAGGGTATCATCATCTTCTGTTAAGATGGAAAATTGCCTCTTTGGCAATAGCAGTATTTATGGGATAATTTACTTATCCACAGGATTGTCTTTGAATTCCTCCTCTTTTATAATGTCTTTTGAGAGGACAGGCAAGTAATTCAAAGAGCAGAATTTATTTTTAGTTTTAGTCTGAGCCTGAAATAAACTGAGAAGGCTGAGCAGTGTTACGATAAACAGGGAGTAAAACAGAGACAGGAAATAGGGGGTCTTTGGTAATGAGTTCCAGCCACCCTTGAAACAGAAAGCCAGAGAAAGCATTACTTGAAAATAGTTTCTCAGTGACAGCTTAACAATTTTTAGCTTGTTGTTCAGCATCAAAAGGGAACAGTTTCTGCAGATTTAGACTATTCTTGAAAGATCTTTTTTTTAAAGATCATTTAGCAAGTTATATTTTTGACATTTTTAGAGTTGCATTGTTCTTGTTGCAAACCAATCTGCTGTTTAAAAAGACCAGATGTTTGGGGGAGAGTCTGAAGTTTATACAGTTGTGTGTTATATATACATCTGTGAGAAGCATTTGGGCTAAGACTGTGGGGCAGAGGCTGAAGATTTAGCTTAAAATGTGAACACGCATACAAGATTTTAGAACTTGAGGGTTGAAAGGGGAAGAAGTCACAGCTGTAGCCTGTAGAACAAAGCAGTGCGTTCGCTTCCAAAAGTTTCTTTTAACCCTGGGAATGTGACTGCTGAGATGGGCCCAAAGCATGGATGGTGAGATTGATATTTACAAGCACTTCACATGGCTAAAGAGGGTAAGTGATTTTCTGGGCTTTGTTTTCTCTTTGTAAATAAATGCACATAGCAAAGCTTAGACAGAGTTCTCAGCTTTGTGAAAGGGAACGTATTGAGTGCCTCAGACTTAAAATATTGGAAGTTTCTTCATGAGAAATGAATTAAAGATGTTTCTTCATGTAGGAGGAGGAGGCTTAGAGAGGGGGGAGAGAATCATCTGTCTTTGTCTTTAAAAATTAAATGCTAGGATCAAACTTGGAACAAATGGCAATAGATTCTAGCAAGTGCTCGTGCTTTGCTGTGGTTGTAATACAACACAGCAATTCCTGAATGAGAATGTATGGCAAAAAATGTCGTTTACCGTGTTGTGCTTTAAAATTAAAAATTATTTGCCCTATTTCTTCACTTAATTCTTCATCGGGGTAACTGTATGAGACCTTTTAGGATGCCTTTGTTTTGAATAAAAATGGTGGTATTTTTTTCCCTGTGCGTGTTTCTCTGATAAAATTATGTGGTTTTAAAAAGACAGTGCTATTAAATCGTAGTTTTGCGATGAACTGTCTGAACATTAATTGACTGCATGAGATTGTTTTTGTCTTCCTATAAAAGAGAAACGGTAGGTTTGTGCAGTTGTCTTGTCACCTTGGAAAAATCACTTTGTTTTTGTCAGCTTTTAGATTTTTAAGGTTCTAAGAATTTATTTCCCAGTGTTTGAAAAATCGGTTAATGGGATGTGAATACATCCTTCATAGTAGACTGGTTTTTAATTACAATATTAGTTTAATTGTGTGTCATGTAAGTTAACCTATAGTGTCATTATACTTTTTAATTTTTTTTTTTTTTAACCTGTGTGTACTTTTCTTTTATGGCTGCGTAAACATAAAATGTAGGTAAATACATCAAATGTGATTAGGAACTTTAATTTGGGTAGTTTCTTGAATGAATATAAAATGTTCAGGATATAATGTCATTCTTTAATAAAAGCTTGAGAATCTTGAAGTTAATTTACAAACTATTTACATCAGGTTCTGAAAACTTTTACATTTCTGGAGTGTGGATGGGGAGAGGAATAAATGGGGAGTGAGTGGGATAGTGAAGAGGAGACAAGAGGAAGTAGCAGTTGGTAACATTATACTATTAATTTAACCTGTGCTCTGTGCAGTTAAAGCTAAATAACTCCTTAATGGTCTTTGAGATTACATATTAATTTGTTTTTTAAATGACGTTTTGAATTTGGTATGTCTGCTACCACTGATTCCTGGTTAAAATTTCATTTCTAAAAGGATAGGTTTGCTAACAAAAGGCTAAGGTCCACTGTTACCAGGTTATGTGGCATTCAGGGTACACTGAGAACAATAACATAATGAGAAAGGACTCAAGAAATAGCTTCAGTGAAGACAGTCTCACACTGAAATGTCCACAGATTTGGAGGGGCTAACATAGGGTGTCTTTAGGATGATTTTCAAGCACTGTATTCAGAAAGGAGACTGTGTTCAAAGGTAGCACAGGCTTTTACAGAAGCTAATGCTATTACTGTTGTTGCATGTAATTCCTTTTATGTAGGGTACGTAAAGGAGAATATCAATACTGCTGCTTTTCCTTGCAAGCTTTTTAAGGAGGTGAGCACACGTGGGGGAAGGGAAGAGAACTGAAAGTGGTCTTGCATTGTTCCCAGGAGAACTTAAGCAGTCTGCTTCCAAATTCCTTTGATAAGTGATTTGGAAAAAAAAAAAATTGAAGTTGCTTATGTAGTTCTCATGTTCAAGAATCCTAATGTCACATGCCTGGCACTGACTGTGAAAGCATATAAAAATTTCAGGCCCTGCAATCATAAACTGTTGCTTTTTGGCTGACAATGAAAGTATGAGTACCCTCCAGAGTAACAAATAGCACTTAACAGAGAGTAACTGCGACAGACTTCCATAAAACCTTGGTGAAGTATGCCAAAGCTGGCTCAGATTTCATCATTAGAAATCACTTCAGAGACCAGGATCAGTTTTGATGTTGCAGTAGTTGGCTAAGCTGGATTTGCATGGTATCTGAGCCTTGGACTGGGTTAGAGCAGCAAACAAATACAAAAATCATGAGATCCAGGCAGGCAAAAGGACAGATACAACTGCTGTTTTCAGGTGCTTGGAACAGAGGATCTGGTTTTAAGCAGTAGTCTTATAACATGATATGTATAGTAGCATTATGCAACAGCAGCAGGGACAAAGCAATATTTAGATCAAATTGAGATAAGGTATCACCACACTTCAGCTCTTTCCATTGGACTACTTTGATGTTAAAATGACCTGTGAAAATGCTGTGCCAAGAACGGCCATAGATATGGACAGAGTGGGCAGCAAGATGTAAGAGCAGATGGACAGAGCCAAAAACAATTTAGCCTTGTCTCAGTTGTATGTGAGGTGCATGTATGGGTTCTCTGACAGGGTCAAGGCGTAGATCTGCAAGGTAAGGAACCAGAGACAGACCCCGCTACCTGAAGCTGGAAGAGTCTCATCTTTAGCAAACTTTCTTTGGTTCTTCCAAAGGATTTGGGTTAAAGGGTTCACATACAATTTCATCTTTTGTCCTGTTGCTTTATTCTTATCTTTCCATCTGGCCTTAATTGGAACACACCATTCCATGTGGCACAACCTCCATTTGGGATGTAGGTATAACCACAAATTATTAAGAACCATCACAAACTTAAATGCTAATATTCACTACAAACAGTATTATGGGCTGTCTAAGTACATTGTAAATTAACAGCTATTTGAACAGCAGTGAATGGAGCGTAGCACAATGGAAGGTCTCTTGCCTCTGGAAAACTTTGTACAGTGGTGAGATGTCTTATTTTGAAAGATAGGTGCCTTCGTATGAAGTGGAGGCGTCCAATGACTCTCATAGCTCGCTTTAGACTTACCTTTTGAAGTGCACGCAGCACAGAGCTGAGGTCTGACCTGAAATAGGTATACATTATTCTTATGCTTTCTTGTCTTTCTTCTGGATGCTGTTTGTAACCTGTACTAGCAAGAAGTGGAGCGATCTAACCTGTGCTATAGCCATTAAGCTCATGATACTGAGGGTGAATCTTACGACTTCTGTAAGGATATCTTCCTTCAAGTAATGCAACTGTCTGGAGGAGAAAATAGGTATTAGTATTAGGAAAAAATATCCAGATAAAATATAAATATTTGGTCAAAAAGGACTGCAGAAATTTACCTAGCTCTGTCTTTTCTTAATTTCAGACTATATGCTGTTAGCTTTTTCAGAATGACTGCCATTTTTATTTAGCCAACAAGGAACAACAGCAAATAGAAAATTGTGTTGTTACTAATTGCCTTCAGATGAAAGGCAAGAATTACAGATCCAGAAATCATGTTCCAGCCTTCTGGTCCTCCTCAAGTACGCTGAGGGAATGTACATATATTCAGATGGGTGTGTATCTGAGGTAGTGCTAACGTGCCAAGAGATTGAATTTGTATTACATTCATAGTCAGATGCCAAAATAAAAATGTTTACTGTGTAGGCTACTCACTCATCACTACACAGTAGCAACTACTGTGACTCATAACATCAGTTCTGCTGGCCCAAAAGACTACTAAGGAGATGGAAAGTCCATACTGTTCTAAATATTATCAACTCCAAATAGGCTGAAAAAAGTCTATAGTGTACATTGTCTTGTATTGAAATATGACACTGTGGTCTGTGTGCTGCTAGTAGTTTGCAGGGAAACTGACTGGTTGAACTGTGCTGGCTATACTCCTTGTTTTCAGCTTCTAAACTGCAACAAAAGACAATAAGTCAAGCATGTCCCTAATCTTCCCCATTAATGCAAGTATTATAGTTGCCACAGGCATCTTATTCAATTATCAGTGGAACTGGAGGTGATTCATGTGACTGAATAAGAAGAGAGGAGGGTTATGACATAATCTGTCTTCTAAAAGAGGCGGGTGACTTGTTGAAAAAGCTTACAAATCACCACTGTGACTGATTCTTTTCCCAGCTCCGTCCCCCTCCACAGCCCAAAATAAGTTCCGTGGTATTAGTGACAGATTTCTGTGTAACAGCTTGCTGATAGTCTTCAGAAGTTGGTATTTTTTGTTTTTAAAATTAGCTGTGTTAGAGATTCTCTGAGCTGAAACTGAAACAGCACACATGAGAACATAAACTGGCCTGTATTCAATTTTATTGTCTTGCATATGTGCTTGCTTTAAAGGGCTTACTTTCACAGCCTATCAAGATTCAGCTAGAAGTGTTGTTAGAGAAGCTTCTGAACGGAACATCTGTACAGAAGTGCTATACAATGGTTGTCGTTCTGTTCTGACAGTAAGCTGCATTCTGAATTGTTTCCTATTAAAACAACATGCAAGAAAACGTTAACGTTCCATGCTTACTGGGCTCTGAGATGGGTGTTGAAAATTAAGATAGCTGAGTTGATCAAACTTTTATTCCCTTTTATATTTTTGCTGATGATCTCCATTTTAAATTAAAGCTGTTGAATCATACCTTAAAGTCTGAAATTTTTTTTGTGTCATATATTCTAAAGGAATATCTAAGCCTTTTTCTTGGAAAAGAACTCTCTAATTTTCTAATGGCTGGATCACGTAAGTGATACTTAATGAAGTTTCCAGCAGCTACCACTTTTATGTCCAAGTTAGAGTAAGGAGCATATTCCAGAGAGAGATTTGGAAACTAAGAAGAAGAAGCTGAAGCAGGTGATGGAAGGCAAAAGCCTTTTCTTTTTTCTTTTTCTCCTTTTTTCAGGAATTGGAAGAAACAGTTCTATGGAAACTATAATACAGGTGCTTAAAGAAGTTGCTTTACAGCTCCCTTAGGCAAAGTATTTGTGGTGTGCACTTGACTGTTCATGTGCAATGGTACTACCATCAATGTAGTTTCAACCACTTTGCCTTAGCATATCTTTCCTTCTACTTTGTTGTCATGTGTTATCATGAATTTTTTACATGTTCTATGCATTTTCTCTCATTCTTTCATTGCAAGACATATGGTTAACATATTTAGCTTATAATTTGTGGAGTCCGGGTAATGATTTTTGGTCTTTAAGTCTACATCTTCTGAAATAACATCTTTGTGGAAAATCGTGGTGATTCAGCCTTTTGGTCATGTGGTTACACAAGTCTAGTGTTTATTGTTTGTGAGCTCTTACACCTACTGAAATCATCTGTAGTCTTACAACTTTAGTGTTATAGGTCCTATATTCAGTTGCTGCTGGTACACGTGATAGCTAACTATACTTGCTCAGCTTCCTCTTAGTACTGACTTTCACAACTGCAGAATGCGCTCCAACCATCCACAGATGGCCTTGGTTCATATTACATTGTTTTATCTTGTCTCTATGCATGCCACAAAGATTTCCCAAGTCTTAAACAACTGCTGTGTGTCAATCAGCCACTTTTATTTAGCAGGTCATTTTCTGTCTACTGTACTTCCCTGTACTTATCTGAGCACTCTCTGGCTGACCTATTGGCAAGGTTGTTTGGTTTTTTTCTTCCACCTTTTCTGTTCACATGGGTATGATTCACTAGGTTTTACATGGGTATTTAGTATTGGACTTCCAGCAGAGGATATTTCACAGTCACTCGGTGCAGCAGACAGCATTAGAGGCTATACATTTGGTAAATATGAGTGTAGTGAAATATCTTACGTGTGATTTGATGTTGAATTCTTAATTACCAATTATATAAAATGTTGAACTCTGTTTTGCATTCATGACAGACTGGTTTCGTGAAAACGTACTGGCAGTAATTTCAGTCACTGTGCCTGTAAGGCTGGGTGGGGAGTGGTTACACAAGTGGTTACAGGTATATTTCTTAAATCTAGCCTAGGAAGATAGCAAATGATGACAGAAGACAGGGTGCGAAATCTAACTGACTATGCAGTCTTCATCACTAGGTTTTGCCATTAAGAGAATCTTTTCTTGCCTAGCAGTGTGCTGTTCTTCCCTGAATACTTGATGTTCTAAGTACAGGAAAGTTTCCCCTACCTTTGTGTGTGAGCCAGAGACAGACTGGGGAAGGCCTGTGGACTTTCTGTTGAGAAAATTCATTTAATGGAAGTATAGCTGCCAAGGCTAAAGATTTTTGGTTCTAAAGTACAGTATAAGTCTTTGCTCTCTAAGTGGAGTAACACCCTAGGCGGAATGATTGGCAGTATGATTAAGGATGTAGCTGAGGTAAAAGGATTATCTAAGCAGACATACAGAAATTAGTGTTATTTACTTAGGAGGATTCCTTATTTTCATTATAGTACTACAAAAGTTAATAAGGAATGAACTTTAATACCCTACGGACTGACTGGCTGACCAACTTTTACTACAAAGGGCCCAAGTTAAACTGAAGATGCATGTTTTATAAACACAATGGGGTTGTTTTTTTTTTTTGGGGGGGGTGGTATTTCTTAATAAAAGGAGAATGCTTGAGATGTTAGGAAAGATGGATAGAGATGTTAGGACACGGACATTCTAAAAAATTAAAACTATTTAGAAGAAGAAGAGGGAGTGAAGTCATCATTCCTTTAGGGGCTTTATGTACTTAGACAGTGGGCCAGCTCCCTGCAGGTGCCACTGTAAAACTTACTAATTTGTCTGAGACTTCTGTTTGTGTATGTTATGCACTCACGTGTGCATATTTAGAGGCCTTTCTCTGAGTTCTTGAATCATAGTGGTACGTACTCTGAACTGGTCAAAAGCTAGTGAGAAAAGTATATTCTGAGTAGAGTTAACATTCTTTTGACAATGAATGCTGAAAAATGAGGCGTGGAGTGAGGTTCTGTGCTTTCTGTTCTTCAGTGCTCTTGTACACCTCAAAAACAGGGAATAAAGACCAAGCTTAGTGTGAATTTATAAGCGATTCTAGTTAGGGACCTTGCAGCCATGTTAAAGACATGATTAAAACATAAGAACAACCTGATGCGTAGGAAAACTACAAAAATAGGATGCAAATCAGTGTAGACTAGTGCAAGGTTATATATTTAAGCAGAAACAATGACTAAACACAGGATGAAGAACAGGTTAAATAAGAGCATTTTAAAAGGATCTGAAAGTTATAGGTCCTAGGCTGAAAATATATCAGTGTTACTTTATGGCTAATATGAAAAGAAATATGGCCCAAGGGTCTGTGAAAGGGTTTTTTCCACTCTAGCCATTTTCAGCTGGAGTCCTGGGTCTCCTCTTAGGTACTTAATTTCAAAAGAGGTCAAGGAATAAGCGGTGAAGAGGAAGCAAAAGAAAGCAACAAAACAGATCTTCAAAAATTAACCTGTTAGGAAAAGACAGAAAAACCTGTGGTTTTTTAATCCAAGGAGAGACCTGCTAATTAGACATCTGCAGATAGTCTTCAAATACATAAAAAATTTCTGAAGCGAAGGGAAGAACGTTCTTTTATCCATGGTGGTGTGATAAGAACCAGTGGGTTGAAGAGATGATGATTCAGGTTAGACATTAAGAAAAATGTTCTAATGATTGGTAGCTAAGAAGTAGCTTATCTGGGGAGGCTGTGTAATCCATTTCTGGAGGTCTTTGGGAGTAGACGAGATAAGAATATTGCAAATAATCATCAATCCTAGGACAGAATAATGAACCAGATGATGTCTTCAGGCACCTTTCAGTGGTGACACCACCTGTTTGTGGTGTCTTTGTGATTCAATTCCTTCCAAAATTATTAGAGACAAGGGTGCTCAGTTCCACTTAGCTTGTAAAGATGACACACATCTAGTTCAGCACTTTATGGCTTGAAAAGTATCTTTTGACTGGATAAATATTTGATTTCTTGATTTGCATTAATTAGCACGTGTTTATTTTCATCATCTGTTTTACATTTTGGCCAGTAGACCTCAGTGGAGAGCAAGCAACCATGAATATATTTAATACTAAAAAAAAAAAAAAAATATTAAAAAGATAAAAATAACTATTCACAAATGTTCAGTTGAAAAAGAAAGGTCAGTTGGAGAGGAGGATTATAATTATAGTGGTGCCACTGTACAAGTAACCGTAAGTGAGTAGTCAGCTGCAGACTAGTGTAGTTGAATGGAACTCAGTGAAGTTGGATTCTTGTGTTAGCTGGAAAGCCAGCCAGAGTGTTTTATTCCCCAGCAGAAATGCATTGCCTGCAATGGAGCTGGGAAATGAACCGCTAAGGGCTCAGGTTACTTTCGATGCTCTAAGCAAACAGCTCCATTCCCACAGTCACACGATGTTTTAGTGTGCAGCATGAAGCTATGGGGCTCTTCTAAACGTTTTTAACTAAATCTGCAGATTTATTTTTTTTTAATTGTGGTGTCTCTCTCTGGAGCATTAAGAGTCACAGGAAATATGGGACATAATAGTTAGGAACAGGCCGTGTTTGATAAGGTCTTGATCCATAAGTGATTATGTAGCTAGAGTGGTTTCTGATAAGAATTTGGCAATTTAAATAACTTGTTAATTGCTAACAAAAATTTTATACTTTTCTTTCAGTAACTTCTAGGAATGGTTTGATATATGTGGCAATGTTTACCATTTAAAAATAAACACCAAGATTCCTTGACTTTGGCAAAAGACTGTTGGGATCAGATATTTCAAAATAAATGGCTTTTATCTGGATAAGATGGTATTTCCCAGTGAAATTGTAATTTGCTAGAAAATATCAGATCTATTCCTATAACAATCTTGATTGCTGAAAATGAGAAAGTATTCAAAACCCAGCTAAAAAAAAAATATTCAAAAAGTTTCATGCATATGAAATAAACATTTTGGGGCTGTAGACACATTTTGCATGTTTTTTGTATTATAACAACCACTCGGTATATATCATTTTTACTAACCATTGCTTGAAATTTTAATTAAAAAATGTAAAAATTCTCATAGAACTTTTTTCCCCCAATCACAGGTGAATCATCATTCATCTAATAATGAAACTTACCAAGAAAGATTGGCACGATTAGAAGGTGATAAGGAGTCACTCATACTGCAGGTATGTCTTAAAGAGAACGACACTGTTGATTTAGTTGATATTCAGTGAATAAAAGCTGAAGTGACAATATTTTCTCTTAAACAAATGTTAGCAGGTCACCAGATGTAACTGATATTTAATCAGGATTTAATTTATAATTTGTGTCATCATAGAATCGTAGAATAGTTTGGGTTGGAAGGGAGCTCAAAGACCATCTAGTTCCAACCCCCCCCTGCCATGGCAAGGACACCCCCCACTAGACCAGTTTGCTCAAGGCTCCATCCAACCTGATCTTGAACACTGCCAGCATCCACAGCTTCCTTAGGCAACCTGTCCCAGTGTCTCACCACCCTCAGGGTAATCCATCTGATTGATTTCATGGTGGGGTAACTTGGTAAAGGAAAGGGGAGTAACAGCAGTAAGAGGAAGAAGAATGACAAAGGGGAAAAAACAACTTAAAAATAATGCTGTGGAGTCACAAGACAATGCTGTGGTAGTGGCTCTCGTTCTCGGTTTTCTAGGTTGTACTAGTTGAGTATTTCTAGGTTCTTTCTGTGTGCTGCCATTTTTGGTGAACTGGAAGGCTGGCAGGGAGATAGACCCGATACTTTTCCTGCTTGTATAATGTACCAAAGTTGCTTTACATCATCAAAAAGCTTAAGGGGGAGGTAAAGGGGCAGGGGAGTAAATTTGACAGTGAAATGCATGCCTAAGCTCTTCAACGTTTCCTGTTTCTCAGTTTACCAAGTCTTTTTCAAAAAGATCCTCTGTCCCCTGTAGGTTTTCCTCCTAGAGAAAACACACGTTGTACACCTTAAAATTTTTTTTTTTTTTTTTCTGGATATTTTCATTATTACTAAACTGTACATTACATGCTTTTTAAATCTGAAGCTGGAGATTCTTTAAATAGTCATTGCACATCCTTTCTCTTTACAGTTACAAAAGCACATTCTAAGCATATATATTTATAACAAACAAAACTTAACTATACTGGGTAGGTGTTCTCCCTCCTTTAAGTTACTAGTTTCTGTAAGCATGTTTTATCCTGTATGTTCTGTTCACACGTGTTAATTTACTGGGTAGAATTCTCACTGCTGTTGTTAAATAAACAATAAGGAGTTTGGGAGACATAAGGCTCGATGGGATTTTTTTTCTTTGTTACTGTTAAACAAAAATTGCTAGACCTGCCTAGAGTTTTTCTCAGAAGGAATGTAGTAAAATCAGATGTAGAAATTTCTCTCTCTTGCCTTTTACTCCCATTGCACCCCCATCAAATCTATGCATTTTCCTGTCCCACTGCACAGTATTGCAGCAGAACTCCAAAAACCCCAGACAAATAAGATAGATGAAAACATCAGTCTGGTAGATGAACATCAATAACAACAACCAAAAAAAAAAGGTGCCAAGATGAAGCTGCTGGTTTATATTTATATGAAGCTGCATATTTTATCTAGGCAGTAGAATATGAGGAACACAGGCACGTCCCATGCTGAGGTTACACTGGCCTTGAGGGAGTCTGCTGGTACAGACCTGACTCCTGGGTGTGACTGTTGGCATGAAGGATGAGAAAGTGATGGGAAACAGAGCACCTCTGTTCTGTAGCTCATGTTGAATTGTGCCAGTGACTGTGGTCCATAGCTGTAATCTGCAGGGAATATGAGGCTGGGAGCACTCCAGTCTTGCATCAGACTTGCTGTGGAAGAAGCAGTACAAGGCGCCTTGTAGTGGGCATAGGTGGTGCCCGCTAAGGCTGAGTCAGAGCACCTTGAAACCGGCTTCCAGTGTTCAGTCTGTGTGGAGGCTGGAAATGCTACAGCATCTGGGATATCTTCTGATAGCTCAGTGCCTGTGTATAGGAGCTAATGTACTACTTTAGGTGTTTGTTCATTTTTTCACAAAGATGTTTTAAACCCCTTGATTTTTAGCTAATTGTTCAATATGCCTCACTTTTACAGATACTTGCAGAAAATATATTGTCTGTGGGCTGACTCGTGTGGGTGTTGCACTGCTAAGGCAAGATGGACTTGCCAGCATAGCATACGCTGGGGTTATGTTCTGTGTACAGCCTGCAGATTCTCTGAAGAGTCTGGCAGATGTGATCCTGAACAGAGGGGAAAATATGAGCTCGAAGTGGCTAATGTGCCTCTCAGCCTCACTGCTGGAACATTCAACACATGCTTCTAAAGCTGCTAAAGTTTTACAAAATTCCTTTGCAGGTCACGTTCAACATACGGAGTTTTCCTTGCAGGTTACAATGTTAGTTGGAACCTAACCCAGCCCTTTAAGGAGAGATTGTTTTCTTTCTCTGGAACCTGTGTCAGACTGAAGGAAAGGATTCAGTTTGTTTCTTCTTGCTTTCTGACCTCACAGAGGCTTTTTTTGTGTGCCATCACTCATTTAGTGGGAGCAAAACAAAAAAGTAGACAAGCAACAGGCTTCCTTGCAGGAGTTTTCCCCCTGCCTCAGCTTGAATGTGTCCCCCTGCCATCTGCCTCCACCCACTTCTTCCTATCATCTCTCATCTTGCATTCATCTGTACTCTGCCCTACAGCCAACTGCTTTAAAGGCAAAAAAATAAAATTCCCAGGCACATCACTCAGTCACTTCCTCTGTAGCTTCCCTGAAGTGAACTCAACTGTTTGTTGATTTGGTTTTAGAAATTCTGCGTAGGGTACATCTGAAAGGTTTTGCTTCCATGTACTGTACCTTTTTTTTTTTTTTTTTTAAATAAAAGTGTTGCAGGGTTGGATGTGAGAGAGCATAGATAAGTTTTTGTTAATGCATTTCATTCAAACTGGAATTTAAGCACCTAAGGTTGCTTTTTAGTTTAATATAACGTTTTCTACTATAATCAAGGTTTTTATATAAATAAATAGTAAAAATGAATGTATTGAGTGTATGTGCTGCTTAATGTAGCAATTAACACTGGGGGTTTTTTCCACATCTTTCTAATGTTATCCTGAGCATAGTTTTTTCAGCTTTGCAAGCTTTGAGTTAGGCTGCTGGGCTTTTCTTATTGCACACTCACTGGTCTGTACCACCATTCCCACAGTTCTTTACCAGTATTGCTTATTGTTTCTTTTCCTGGGATTCATTGTCTGTATCTCACTTCTTTTCCTTTCATGTTTTGGCTTGCAAAGCCTGGGAATTTTTCTTGGAATAGAACTTTGCTGCTGCTAAAACATGCCTTTTACTCATTGCATTCTTTATAACGTCAGAACGCTTTATTGATAGGTAAGCTGTTCTTGTAAGAAGTGAAGTAATTGGTTGGTTTCCAAATGAACAGTTTTATTGTTTATCCGTTTTTGGGAGTGAAATGCCAACAGAACCTGAAATGGCAACGCATGCTCCGAAACCACATAAAATATTTTCAGTGTTTTATGTTCTTGTTCAGTGCTTTCTAATTTTGCTTTCTAATTCTAATAAGACTTTTGCATGAACTGTTCAGGCTGCCTGTAGGTAGTCTTCCATCTCTTCTAGAAATGCTCTTGCTTTTTCATATTAAAACAAAATAAGGGGGGGAGGGGAGGGTCAGAGGGCGGGGTTGAAGCAAAATATAGGTAAGACTGAAAAACTGTCTATCTTAATAGAGCAAGTTGCTGCAGTGCACAGGCATATGAAACCATTGAGGACTTTAAAAGAGAACTTGCTGATAAAGTGTGCGTTTGGATGTTAATTGTATAAGGTAATTATTTGCAGTCAGTTCAGTAGTATTGTGCGTCTGTTCTCAAATTACAGGTGAGTGTTCTTACAGACCAGGTGGAAGCTCAAGGAGAGAAGATCCGGGACTTAGAAATCTGTCTTGAGGGGCATCAGCTGAAACTGAATGCTACAGAAGAAATGCTTCAACAGGTAAAAATGTGGATTGGAAAGCTTCTTGCATAATCTTCTCCAACAGAGGGGTGAACGTATACGGTCAGCTTGTATGCGTGTGTGAGTGCCTTTGGCAACAAGATAAAATGGAGGGAAAAAAACCCTCTTTTATTGTGCTCTTGCTGCTTTGCACTTTTTTATTTTCTCCCCCCAATAAATGTTTCTTTGTTTTCCTGTTGCAGAAACATTTTTCTGGCTGGTTGCATAATACTGTACGTGGCAGCATGTAAAATGAAACTATTATGTTTTATTTGTACTGTGCTGATGAACTGAATTTTGACACGGTTGAGTAACTGGTTAGACAGGTCGAATGTATTTAATATACATTGGAGTTATAGAATTAAGAATTTTTATTTAAATAGCTTCTTATGGCTTTGAAGCTGAACAGATAGTAAGTTGAAATGCATTAATGTATCGTTTGGTTCTGTCACCATTTTTGCTTAATATAGGAGCTTTTCCCTTATTTTTGAAAGAAAATTAGTATATAAAGATGTATTTTTCTTTATTTCAGTGACAGTTTCCAGCTATGTGAATTAATTTTTGTTCTTTCATGTTACATGTTGAGGAAGCAGAACAAATGATAAATTAAATACCTTACATTTTATGTGTTACTGTAGAGCTGGCAGGTCAGCTGATGCAAAAGAACTTTCCTGGTGCAGTTTTCTGTTATTACAGATGCAGATTATCCACTGGTAATACAGTACATAGATATCAAAAATAGATTTCAAACTGTAAATAAGGCTCAAACTCTACGCCAGAAGTTGGCAGGGTGGATACTGCTGTTGATGAACTTACTTCCTCTCCTGCCCCAAAATGTTGTGTTATAAAATTACTATTTTAATCTATGTGAAATATACAAGTCTTTCTATGAACCATTCATAGCTTTAAATTATAGCTGTGCTAATCTATAGAAACTTATTTTACTATTAGAAGGTTCCCTGTACATATGTATGTAAACAGTAGCAGTTTCTATAAGACAAACTTGTATCCTGAACCTCTAAAGTTATAATTTTCCAAGCTTCTGTAAAAAAAACTTGGTTTCACGCAACTTCTGCAGCCTAAAATGCTTCCAGATGGGAAAAGTTTTATTCTTATACTTAAAAGAGGGGATGTTTTTAAACATGCAAATAGCGAGTTCATTTAGTTTTTCAGTGAGATCTGAAGTTAAATTCAAAGAACAGTAACTGTTTAAGCTACAAAAATCCGTTTTCAAACTTCAGGAAGGCATTCACAATAGTGTGTAGAAGTTTCCTGTTTCAGTCTAAAACTGGATAGTTGTTCTGTGACTTCTGCTAAAACTGTTTATTGTTTCTTTGATTTAAAATTGTCTGCTCTGATAGTCCTCTGAGGAAATGGTGAGTTTAAAGCCTGATTTAACAGAACACTGAGGCATCTGAAAATAGAATATAATAATGCATGTATATTGCTATTTTATTGAAAACATTTGAATCTACCCATCTGGCATTAGCACGTGCACAAATTGCTTACAAAGCTGATCCTAAAGTTATAAGTCTGTACTAAAAGCCAAAGAAGTCAGAGAATCTCCAGAAATGTTTAACATAAACCTTAAATCTAAATTTTGAGATTACTTTGAGTGGCTGTAATTGTTGCCAAATGGGAGTAATTTCAAATTTATTTTCCTTCTTGTACACATATTACATAGTTAGCAACAAGCTCAAATTTGTCAGTTGTTTTGTATCGTAGTTTTGAGATCTTGCATTTGAACATAATTTACAGAAATACTGACAAGCCTACTTGTTGGTTGCTGTTTTTCTAAGTGACTGATCTCTCATGCTTGCAGCATGTGTGATAGATTTGAGTTTGTTTTGTTTTGTTTTGTTTTTCAAGACAATTACGTAGGCCACAACTTGGTAAAGATTTGTGTTTCATTTTAATCCTATCAGTTTGTCCCTTTGAACTTTGCACAGACAGACACATACACAAACACATACACTTAGAATTTTAGTTTTAGTGTGAGTGATGTGCTTTCAATAGCTGAACCAAAATAAAAAAAAATAAATTCAGTGTGGAACTGACATATTTAAAATGTATTTTCTCACTGGAATGAGAAAAAATCGTGTTAACATTTTAGTTTTGTGAAGAATAAGAAGAGCAAATTAAGTGAAATACTAGAGGATGGTGAGGGAATGGTAGTTGTGGTGTCTTTCTCACATGGATTACAGACAGCAGGGTATGGGAAACCAAAGTTAGACCTCAAAATCTCAGCAGTCAGAGAAATTACACATTTTTTTTAATGGCTCAGCAGAGGGCCCTATTTGTCTATATTTTATAATTCTTTCCTCAGTTCATCTTGTTGAAAAGATTACCCTCTGCAGGGAATGAGTTGAGATTTGTAGATAAGAGAATGACCTGGTAATGTGATGAGGACGTTCACATAAGATATACGGCCAACAGGCCTTCTTGCAGTTAACTTGTCAAAAGTAGAGTGAGTATCTGGCCTCAGGGACTTCAATAGATTGATGGATCAATCAGGTTTTGGGGAGAGTTAGATTCAGATCTTCTCAGCCAGCAGTTGCCAGTGTCCTGTACAAGTGCTTATGATGCTTAGCAGAGAGATGAAAGATATTAGTGTTGTCATTGAGTTTTTCCAGTCAAAACTATTTAGTGTGTCTTTCAAGACAGTATTTATTTATTTTTACAGTAAACTAACTTATTTTTAATTAAAAAAAAAAAAAGTCATCTAGCTCTATGTACCTATATAAATGTTCTTGCTTTTCAGAAAGAATTCTATTATCTTCCTGAGGTGCACGTAAATCCAATTGTATTTCATGGTTCTGCTTGCTTATTTACAATATATTGAACTCCACTGATTTTTTTTACCTTTGTGAACTTAAGTTGACGACTACTTCTAAATGGAAAATGGAAAATTAAAGATTGCCCTAGCTTGAAAAATCTTTAATGTATATTAGTAGAATTAAACTAACTGCAGTATGGATAAGGACATTCTTTACTTGTCTGGGAAACCATATGCCTGAGTCCAGGATAAGCCCTGTCTTTTTAATTTTGGGATCTATAAGAAAAGTGACTCTTAATTCCGTGCCTAAAATACTGCAATAAAACCAGAAATCTTACTCTTTAAGATAATTTAGTGAAGATAGTATTCCATAACAGAAAGGGGATGTAAATACTTTTTGCTGAATTTATGCTAGCAGAGACTTGTCCACTTTGTCAGAGTGGGGTTACTGGCTAAAATCCCTCGGGCTTATGATTTGTACAGAGTTGGTTTGAACCCTGCTACAAAGTGATCATGGAAACACTTCTGAAACAGCAGCTAAAATAAACTTTATACTAATTACATGAAATGGCTGTTCAGCATTCAGTATGGACATCATGAATGTGAAATAGTAGCAACAGATACTGCTGCTGCTTTGCAGAAAATCGTGGTTCTTCGTCGTTTTAAGATGATAGTGCAATATCCCTTAGTCGAAATGTGAACTTTCAAGAAATGACTTGAGCCAATCTAAAGGTTGCTGCTACAAAAAGGAGATGCCTCATTCTCCTTTCATCCTTCTCCCTGTTCCTGACCATGCGTTTCTGCAACTTACTTTATACTGGCTCTCATGCTTATCAGACTTTTTCCTCAGTGACTGGGAGAAAACTAACTTGGGGTTTAAAAAGAAGGGGATGTTTTTCTACTGGCTTAGTGAGTTGAAACAGCTCACAGAGGAGGTCAAGGCATGGCGTAAGGGCAATGGTAAGATGTGCATTTGACCTAGCTGTTTATGAAGTCACAGCCAAAGAAAATACAGCTCAGCAGCGTTTGAGAAACAAGAAAATCCTGTGTAACAGGTGCAGAGGTAGACTGGCGTGCACATCTACAGGTAATGCATGTACGTTTTCATAAGATGTGACACGGTGTCAAACCCATTTTGCTTTTATAAGGATACGTGTTCCACTAGACCCTAATCAAGATAAAGCATTTTTCACCTTGAAGGTGTTTGCATTTTCTTTAAATTTTCTTTAAAACAAAGTAGGTCTTTCAAAAACTTGTGAAAGTCAATGGCAAAACTTTAAATCAGTCCTTAAGTATGATTATGGTTTGGGGCAAGAAACACATATCCCTCGTCATTCTTCATAGTAAATGTTAAGAGAAGATTTTCTGGAGCATGACTGCAAGACACTAGTTTGGTCTTACTGAATTGCCTTCCAGTGGTATCTCTGTCTTGCCATCAAATGTGTAAAGAATATGGAAACACCAGCCTTGCCCCTTAGCACATTGTAATGACTTTGTTTTGAAATTAAAAAGTAAAACCCTCCTAGAATTATTCTGTGAAAACAATTTATGCCATGACAGTTGATTTCCAGTGTATCAGCTGCTTTGAAACGTAAAATTACAGCCAACTTTAGAGAACAATGATGTGTATGTGTCTTGTTCTAAGTTAGTTTGTGGCATTTCTAAGTACTTTCTTCCAGTCAATCTTAAGAAAGAAATATTTTTTAAGAGAAGAGTCTTAAACATCTGCTACATTAGCCTTGGGGGAACCCCCTATCAACTTGCTATCAATTTTTCTTTCATTTGTACTGTGTACAAATGAAAACAGAATTGAAAAGCAAAAGTAATTTTTGTTCTATAAAGTAGCCTAAATTGTCCTGTAACAGAATGTACCAGCCACGCACAATGTGAACATGCTGGTGCTATGGAATCTATGCTGTCAATCTTGACAGCTGTATTCAGTCATTTTGAAAAGTGAATTTTCTGCGCATACAGATTTCACCTCCACAGTTCTTTTAAGTGCATTTGTTATGGCAATTATCATGAGTAAGAATAGTTAGTTACCTCTTTGCTGTTCCAGGGCTGCATTTGATTTATTTAGGAGATACTGCTTCCCATTGAAGCTCTCTGGCATAAAGTATAACAGCATACAGTTTGCTTTGCCAATCAAAATGCTGGTCTGTGTGGCAGTGTCTCTCCCATACCTGACCTGCACTAAATCATAGATGTGGTTTGACCGTGTGTTTCCACCTTCCAAATTACTTCTGACATATAATTGTGAGAAGCAATCCAGTGGACTCTTGTCAGATGGTTGCATTGTGTAAACATAACTGCATCTTCTATCAAGTAAAGTGCTTTGTACTTTGCTTTAGGATTCTTTCTGTCTTAAAAATACACATAGAAGCTGAAATGCTTGAATGAAAACAGGAGTGACTTTCTATTTCTCATGTCACTTTATGGCCAGCTTCTGCCTGACTACAAGGAGCAGGGGAGAGTGTGCCAGACAGTGCCCTTTGTGAGGCACAATGGAGGATCTTTTGAAAACCAGTGGATTAAAAGAATGCATGGAGCAGCTGTATGAGAGTAGGAACTTGAATCCAATACAGTTTAGTGGGTGCCTGTTCTGGTTTTGCAGTTGTCTTAGGGGAGCCAGAATTCTGTCTTGGTTGCAGGGTATAAATCTGGTGTGTATCTGTTTGCTTCTCAGGAACTTCGCTGGCTGGCAAGGATCATTCCTTCAATTTTCAATTGCCTGAGCTATCTGATCTTAGATGAATTTCAGCACTTGTTTATAGCATGCAGTAACTTCTTGCCAGCAGCTAGCTTAGTATTTCAGGTTTTGAAGTGTGCTTTCTGCTGCTTTGGTTGTGAGGCGTAAGGTTTTCCGAGTGTGCTCTCAAGTTGTGCAGCTTATCTACACAGGTGAGCATTACACTGCTTTGCTATTTTACAGTTAACGTAGGCATAAATCTTCTCATCAGGCATATGCAAAGGGCTGTTCAAATTGGCAGTGCAATGGGATGTTCCCATTTTTCCCATCCTTTCCGTTGCTTAACTATATAATGGGCAAATGATGAATCGGAGAGCTGTAATTCACTCTCTGCTACTAACTCACACCATTTCATGGGGATTACACATGCACATGGCTCTCAGCTGTGTTTTCAGTTAAGCAAATATCTTATTTCTACCACAGCTGACACACCGTACTTGAAAAGTGCAGTCCTCATTAGCAGTGGTTCTTGCTGAATTTTGCTTACCAGGTAGGTAGCTTGGGCTGGCTGGCTGTCTCTCTGAACTATTTTAATAAGAGTGAAAAGTATGAAATTTTTTGATTGTTGTATTTTGTACAGTGCACAAGTGCAAAATGGAATCTTTGGGGTTTTTTCCCCCCACTTGACTAAAATCTTTCTTACAGTTTCCCAATCAGCGTATGGCATGATTGTTTCTTCCATTTTGTGGAGTGCTAAATGCCCTGAAATTTTCTGTGCTTGCAGCTGACAGCCTAGGAAAGTGTAGTCCTCTTTCTAAGCTGTTTTCTCTCATGTTAAATTTTATGAGCTGCTTTATAAGAATTACTTATTTCTGAGACAACAAACTATGAAAGTGAGATATACCGCGTGTGCTTCAGTTTCATTGGGAATATGGAAAAACATGATTAAATGTTTTAAGAGTATACATCGTGAATTTTAAAAATACAGTTGTGTTTGGAAAGTTTGCTGTTCATTGATCTGTCTGGTACGTGCATATGTTGCTTCTCCATGACTCATCTTTGTAATTATTCTACTCTAAAATAGCTTTTTTCCTTAATTTCTAAAGTTAGAAGTTGAGTTTGAAAAAAATAACTTTGAGAAAATAAATTATACTTACAGTACATTTAAAATTAAAACAAGTATCTTGTTTATAAATAAGATTCCCTAGGATATGTTCTATTTCTGTTCTGTGTTTCAGCTCTTTAAGATCCTCCTAAAGCTGCCACAGCCCAAATTACCATTTTGCCTGTCTTATATTATCTTTTTTTGCTTTAAAACCAATAACATAAATTTGTATTTTCTTTTCTTACAATTGCATATTTATTCTGGCTGAATTCAAGTTGCATAATACCACTGAAATACACTATAATTTCTCTGTAACAAAATGGGTCACATTCTTAATGAGCTGTTCACTGTGAGCATCTGCTTGAAGATGAAAATAATTGCTTCCAGATGTTACCATTTCAGGAGGGGACATTTACTTTAAATGGCACTTTCTTTCAAAGCAAAAGTTAGACTCTAGATGCAAGAAAAGTTGTCAGCTGTTTTAAATCAGTGTAGTTCCATTGAAAACAACCTAGGGATAGTTAGCTATTTTGTCTGTTTTAAGGGAGGAGTTTTATGCCAGTTTACACTAGCTGAGAATCTGATTCTCCCGCTTCACAGGAAACTATAAAATTTTATTTGAGCTGATTAAAAAAAAAAAAAAGCAGCTGCCTTCATGCTCATATATACCAGGTAGCACCTTAGTGTTCACGTGGAGCTACTGAACTCAGAATGAGAGGAGTGAGGTATTACTCTCCATTGCATAACTAAGTGTAATTTGGGAGTCTACAGAAAAAGTAAGGAGTAATGCCAGATGGTGCACTCAAAGGATAGATCTTTTGTTAAAAATTCTAGAGGGATGCTGTGTCTCCTGGCCTTATTAAGAAATCTTCCTGTCGTATCAAGGAATACCATGTCAGCATCAAAAAAAAAATTCTAAATGTTGTTTCAGTTTGACAGTGAATAGAGTCTGTCCATGGGGCCAAAGTCCCCTCCTCCTGCTAGCCTTTTTGACATTCAGTGGCCTTATTTCATATCAAAGTTCTTATTTATAGCTATGTCTTAGTCTGCAGAAGTCTGCTATGTTAACAGCTGTAGAGAGCCTGTTCCAGTCTGGACTGGAATGTGCCTCTGCAACTTGTGTAAATTAGTGTTTTTCTGGAAGATAGAGGAGTTATTTGTAATTATAACTGTAATTTGTAATCACTTCTGTAGAAAGCAGATAATACTGGAATTTCATTAGGTGCCTCTTAGAGCGTCTCAATAAAAAGCCAGTGCACAATCTTTTCCTGATTAGTGCATGATTTATTTCATGCAGAGAAAAAAAACAACCATGAGGCTAAATTTCTGTTTATTTTCCCATCCATATACAAATATCATTGTCAGTGTC